CAGTCCACCTCAAACAAGATGAAAATCAGGTTAAATCTTTTCTTAACATAAAATTAACACCATTTGCATGCCTTGATTCCAACGTTGGTCAAAATCAAAACATACAACTATTCTTATACACTAATTCTACATCACCGTTGGACAGAAATAGAATTAATGCATAAATCTTTAACTTTCATAATCGTTTTACACACTAATTCTACATCACCGTTAGGCGTAAATAGAATTAATGCATAAATCATTAAAATTAACATATGTTCTTATACACTAATTCTACATCACCGTTGGGTAAGTAGAATTAATGCATAAATCATTAAAATTATCAACTTTTCTTATACACTAATTCTACATCACCGTAAGTGCGAAGTAGAATTAATGCATAAATCATTAGCATTACGATATTGTTATTAACAACGTTGGTCAGAAAATAACAACATCATAATCATGTCAAAACTCTTTTTCTCCAATTAAATACCACATTGGTTCAAAATAATTGGAGAATCAACATTTTCTTTAGCAATGAAAAACTTTCCTTTTCTCCAATTAAATACCACATTGGTACAAATTAAGCGGAGAATAAATCATTTTCTAGGCGTGGAAAAACTTCTCCTTTTCTTGAACTTTACCCACAGGGAAAATTGTATTTTCTATTTCCTTTAATCCATTAATCAATTTCCGTGAAATGAACATTTCTTTGGAAAAACTTTTCCTTTTTTCTAGTTTAAAATACCTTTTCATATTTTCTTTAAGTTATTTATTCATTTTCCAGAAAATAAAATCTTTACTGGAAAATGAAAAAACAAAACTGATTCATACTCACTTGTTCCTTCGCCCAAAACTAAAGGCGGCCCATTACGCCTGCGATGCATGCTTCCCACGCCCAGGCTGCAACCTGGGCCTAGGCCGGCAATTCGGCCTGGCGCGCGCACCCGTCTGGGCTAAAAGCCAGTCCGCTCGATCTGAGTCGTCCGATGGAGATCGACGGGTCGCGCAGGCCGATTTCAGCGATCAAAACCACCACCTGCCCACGACCGGAAACCCTAGGGTCATTTCACTTCCTCCACTTCTCTCTCTACGCTCTCTCTTCTCAGAGCTGTGAGCACCGAGCGGCGACCGAGCGGGCGAAAACGGTGGAGGGGCAGAGCCATGGCGTCGTCGCCGGCCCCCTCGCCGGCGTGCGCGCTCCCTAGCGGGTGAGCACGCCGCCGTCGAGCGGCCTGGCCGCGGCGCCCCCTTGGCCGAGCTCGGCGAAAATTTTTCCCGGCTCGGTCTTCTTCTCCCTCGCCGGCGAAACGATTCGCCCGATGATTAGGGTTTGGATTTTTTTCTCTTCTTTTCTCTGATTTGCTTTTGTGATGTTTCTTACTTTTTCCGGAGTTCATCCAAATGGATCTAGGGTTAGGGTTCGTGTCCCGACCCTGTTCTTTTCCCCTTCCCCTTTCGGATTTGAATCTCGTTCCTCTTTTCCGAACTGGTTATGGGGTATTAGGGTTTGGATCTGGGGTTCCTTTCCTTCTTCCCCTTCGGATTTGAGTTGTCTCTTTTTTTTTCTTTTCTTTTGCTTGTTCACCCGAAAAGGTTATCCCAGTTCTAGGGTTAGGGTTTTGGCTCTGTGAGCCTAGGGCCCTATTTCTTCTCTGATCCGAATGGATCTGTTCTTTTCTTTATTTTTGCCGTGCGCCGTCGAACGGTGCGGCTCCTTTCCCCCTCGCGCGGTGGCGGTGATGACCGGTAGACAGTACCCCGGTCTCTTTCTCTCTTTGCTTTTACCCGGTTAGGGTTTAGGGTTACACTTAGTAACTTGCTCGTACCATTGTTAGGATCGGGATGAGTACCTCGTGTGTGTAAATCAGATGCGTGAAAGCTCCTCTCCTTCTCTGTAGATGCACCGCAGCTGAGACACCGGTGCCGGGCTAACGTAGCTGCTGTCCGGCGTGGTGGAGACGATCACCCATGGGCGTGGAGGAGGTCCCTGCAGAGGCGAGGCAGAGGCGGCGAGGTAGCGATGCCGTGGAGATCCAGAGGGGACGGTGGTGACCCTGCAGTGGGTCGACGGCGGTGGTGGAGCACATCCCGTCGCTGGCAGCACGGCCTTTAGATCGGTTTAGGGTTTCTCAGTAGGTGGGTGTGGCGGCTCCGTTCAACCTCGTTTTGTTGAGCCCAGTCCCCACTCCTCTATTTATGTGCTGTGCGACAGGGGCCCACCAACCAGTTAGGGTTGGGCTCCCCCGATCAGGGAACAGAGGCAAGAGCCCAATAAACCGTTGGACCTATTGGTGGAGATAACTAACATTGGTCAGATTGAAACCAATGCTCATCTCTTCTTCCACTGCGACTTCGCTCGTGCGGTACGGTTCTCAACTGATCCCCTCTTAGGACTGACACTTTGCCAAATGAAGATGATGGAGTACAACTCAGTCTGTCCACTTTTATTACTGACTCCATTTCTGATTACCTGCCAAACGACAAGAGATTCAACAGACAAAACTGGACACCGTGGCAGGTCCATCATGCATTCATGCTGTCGCTGAATACATGCAAACTCATCTGCTGGTGACGAACAGATGCAAAATACACGGCCAGCCACACCTGATAACAATGAGCACAGCGGTGGCACTGACGCACCGCCGACAGAGTCAAACCAGGTAATGCCTCACTCCTCCGTTCAACCCAATGCAGGTCGCACACGGAACAACACGACATCTGCAGGGCAACGAATTCATCGACAACCACCATTGCTCCGACCCAGGATGAAAACGGATCGGATACGAACGAATATCACTGATATTACATTTGTTTTCATATTTCTGTCCGGATTCAGATTCGAATACGGATAGTGTCAACCATATCGGATAGGATACGATTGGATATCGACATCATAAATATGCGATTTGAGTATTCGGATACGGATACGGTATCGGATGTTGAATATCCGGACTCGGATACGAATAGATCTGAACCCCTTTAAACGGATTCGATCTCGAATACGGTCGGAAAATATCCATACCGTTTTCATCCCTACTCTGACCCAATCACCAGGAACAATCTTGGTCCTCCAGGTACGAACCAGTCGCATCCAGGAAACACAACACACAGTTCAATCCGAACCCGGACGAACAGGTACACTTACCAAGCATCAAGACCGTACACAATTCAACTGCCAGCCCTGCTACCAAGGCCATGCATCAACTCTGCTAGATCACACCTCACGACAGCCAAAGAGAGCTGGACGGGGAGTTTTCATCATTAATACAGAAATGCATCCACCACATAACATTTACATCAAGGGAGTGCTCTCAGATTCCTCCTCGGTTCTAATGGCAGAGGCTGCAGCTCTAGCACTCGCTCTCTCGGCTTCAACTGCAGGACACAAACTTCTTACGGATAATCAAGAGCTGGTATGCTTCTTCAGCAGCATAAATCATTCCAATCCGCTGGATTGGAGAATCAAACATCTTACACGGCACTTCATTATCTGCTTACAACGACAAAATCATTATCTGCTTACAACGACAAAATCACAGGATCTTCAAGATAGGGAGGCATCTAAATCAGATGGCTCATACTCTAGCACAACAGGCTACCCTAGACATTCAGTCTCATCATGCTAGTCCATCTTTCACTTGTACAAATAGCGATCATGCCAACCAGTGCCCGTTGATGGAAGCACTGCAATCTGTACTCAGAGTCTCTGTATACCTGCTAACAGCTCGATGCTGTTGAAATAAATTCATGTTTCTTGTAAAAAAAAGACCAAATAAAAGAACTTTTTAAAACAAAGTGATATTTTCACACTAGCTCTATTTTATTAACGCTACCTGCGACATCAAACATTGCCAATAACTTCTGCATAAAGATTTAGTGCATTGTGGATTAGAAAGTCAAACTGTGGCACTGTCAGATTGCCACAATTACACAAATCTTACAATACACAGTTCATTTAGCAACCCCCTACTTCAACACTGGAAAAAGGAATAGACCTCATCAAATTTAACAGCAAACAAGAGTACGAGTCAAGCAGCAACTACTCAAAGGATGCGCATACACCTACCCCTCTTTTTTCACATTCAAAGGGATCGGTTTTAGACAAATCATGGGCATGATTAATATGCATAAACTCGTGCTCACATCTTTTAGTAGTAAAATAAACCCGAGCACATCTTGAAGCCCTTTTCTCCAGCTGGAGCAGCTGATGCTGCTCTGCAAGAAATCTATCAGTCACATTGTACCTTTGACACTCAAATGTCATCGACTCCAGCATCTTTGCGTTCAGTACAAAGAATGTGGAAAAGCTAATTTGTGACAATATGCCTTGATAATTATTCAACACAACTGTCTTGAGATGGATGTCAAGGCATTTGATAAGATTACGATGTTTACGGCACCATAAATTCTTGTCTCCATCCTGGTATGACTGAAAAGGAAAAAACAGTATACAAACACAACCAATTGAAGAAGAATTGGCACAATATTAAGTAATACCAAAGAATATATGAACACAATGAATTACTAGTTTAGTATGTTTACCCTGATATACAACTTCTCCAGGCATGGGAAGCATCTCATCAAGTCAATAATCGGATCCAGGCTAAGAATAAAAACATTGACTGCTAAAATCTTGACAGTACATGCCGACGTTGTCTGAGTTAGTGACCCGGAATCCCCTTTATGTTGCATGGCTGCATGAAACATGCATTAGCCCATTGATAAAAGTCAATATTTTCAAGTTTTTTCTGCACACAGAAAAGCAACTCAGAACCTGTAGGCAAGAGGTGGAAAAGCAAGAGATACCTCAACAATCATAGAGCCCAACGCGAGCCTGGAAGAGTGATCAGAAAAATTTAGGCAACCAAAGGTCTCCAGATTAGGTGCTGAAATAACTGATACTCGCAGTAACATTCCCGACTGTGGTTGTCGAAGATTAAGAATCCTTTTAAGGCAAGGGACATCCTCGACAATGAATTCTTCTAAGCAGTTCATTGTTCGATCATACCCAGCACTCACCCCAATGCTTGTAAGCGTAGGCCAAAGATTCTGCGAAGCAGCAAGCACTCGAGGACGGGAGAAGCAGCAACGATGCTATGCAGGGAATCCTCCGAAATGCCGACCCGTTTAAGTGCGAGCTTCTTGAGCCGGGGGAACTGAAGCGCCTGGGTGATGTCGACAGAGAGGTGGCATTGGCTGAAAGTGGCGACACAAAGGGACGACGAGAACCGGAAGGTAGATGCCGGCTGAGGTGGCAGTTTCAACCCAGCCGTCGCAAAGCAGTCAATCTCTTGGAGGTTGTCGAGGGCGGAGGATCGGAGCCAAGCATCCACAGTGGCGGGGCTGTCCCATAGGCGTTGTGCAGGGAAGCGAAAGCGGCGGCCGGGGCCCCGGTGGGAGGAGAGGATGCGGGAGACGACATCGATGGTACGAAGTTCACTGCCGTCAAGGTTGATGCGGGAGACGACACCGATGGTGCGAAGTTCACCGCCGTCGAGGATGAGAGGGGCTGAGCGCCAGAGATGGCGCCACCGGGTGGCGAGGATTTGGGTGCGGGAGGCATCCTTGGTGGGGAGGAGAGAGATGACCTCACCTAGAATGGCGTCCGGGAGGAGGCTGAGTCGATCGACACCATCTTCTTCCTCTCCGGCGGCTTCAGGCGGCGGATCTTGGATGTAGGTTTCGTCTCCTCCGGCTCCAGGAAGACTGGATTCAGGCGCAGTCGTCGCTGGTACCAGCGGCGAGATGTTTGGTCCACCCTCCTGTTCCGGGCTCTTGGACGCCTCCGGCTTCCTTCTCTTGGCACGGCGAGGCGCCGCCTGTGTCTCCATGGCCGCCGGCCGGTGGGTTGATTGGGGGCGGGGAAAGGGAAAACACGAGCACGACGGCTGGCAGAAGCTCCGTAGGGTTTGATTGGGATTGGGGCCGGTGCCTCGCGTTACCGGCCCATGGGCCAAACCATCTACGTTAGGCTTCCCGCCTGCGCCCACGACGCCGCTGAAATTTGCTCCGATTCCAGAAAAGCATGGTACGCGCCGCCGCTAGCGCTCGGTAGTAACGCTATCTCCAACAACGGCACGTCAAAAATACAAGACATATTTATCCTTTAAACATTATATAAAAAATATTAAATATATATTCGACATCTTCTCTAACAACACAACCAAAAAAGAATTATTTCTGCAAATGGGTTTCCAGAAGAGAAGATGTCCATATTTAGGTTGTGCCTCTCAAGCAACCCAAAATAGGTCTCCCGTATAGTTCCTCCGTTGGAGGCTGATTTTGGGTCTCTTGCTATCAATTTTAGGTTTGAGTGCCCATATGAGTTCCTTGTTGGAGATAGTCTAACACGTTAATTTCAACATCCTAATGATTTCTCTTTTTTTTTTGTCAACTAGATATGTGTCCGTGCGTTGCACGAGGGCTCAAATTTTTGTCCACTACGAAAGATTTGATCATTTTTGGAAAATAAAAAAAAAGCATCAAATGATTTTGCATTGGGAATGTAAACTATTTCCAAATACTTAGGCTTTTGGATTCGACATAATTCATGTGTATACCAATTTTTTTTTTAGATTGAGTACGGCCCCATTGAGCCTCTTTCGGTGTGTCCGCACACACAAATCTATATTCCTGACTCTGGAGTTGACATTTTTTGGGCTTTTCAAACTAACTTAATTTGGTGCACATTGTTAATGGGTTGTACATGCCCTTAGACTTTTCAGGATTTATATTTCACACGTAAAGATAAGGTTACACTCTCTAGCTGAAAGGATCTTGACAAAATTTGAAATATAATTTTTGGATTTGATTATAATTTTATATAGATTTTATAAGTCTCAGTTAATTTGTGCATTGTTTAGAAAAAGACAAGAAGCTAACAAACACTCTTTTTTTCATCTGCAACCCTCCACTTTTTCCTATTCTTGCCATCAGGTCATTGCTGAATCAGATCACAAACTCATGCACTCTCGATCGTAACGGCCGGTATGTCTGGCCAGGACTGACCTCGCCGCCGCTGTGGCCCTGGAGGCCTGGACAGCCGCGAGTCGACTCGTTTTGACGGGGGCACGGGGGCGCGAGCAGGAGCGTATGTGAGTCGTAGCAGAGTTAGAGTTTTAACGAAGACGACGAGAGGCAGGGCCCAACGGGGTTTTTTTTTTGACGAAAGCACACCGTATAATGAGTAGTGGGATGTGGAACGTGGGTGAGTCCATGTCAGAAATGAGGCCGTGGACGTGCGCGAGGCTGCGAGCTCCGGGACTCGTTTCCGAACAGGGCCGTTATGAGCGGGATGCGCAGACGATAACCTCCGGTATTTTTTTAGTGAAATTGTTCGAAAAGAGAAGATAAGATATAATTTAAGACTGGACCTTAGTGTAGAGAAGAGAAGAATAGATATACTGGACTGGATTCGTACGACATAATGACTTGAGCCTGTACGTGTTTTTTTTGTCATATATATGTATAAGCCTGTACGTTATTTTGAATTAAATAAATGGCAAGGTGGCCTGAGCCTTCCAGCGTTCCGTTTAGTTGCAGGATACAGACTCAGTAGACGTGATAAGCGTCACAAGCGGGGAAACAACACGGACTCCATATATTCTCCGTAGACATGGGCAGACGTCCGTAAAGAGGAGCGAACGAACGGGGCGTCCGACGATAACCTTAGATATTTTTTAGGTGTAGAGAAGAGATTCAATTACCGTTTCGCCATCTCTTCTACTTCTGCGTGGAATCAAAGAGAGAAGATCAGCTGTCAAAAAAAAAAAAAGATCGCCATCCATGTCTAACAGCCAAAACTTAATCTGTAGATTTACATTAAAAAAAAACCTGATAATGATATGCCATGGGCATCCGAACGGACCGACCCACCTGCGCCACGCGCCTAAACCTGCGTCGCCCCATCCGCGTTGCACGTTGCGCGCCCTCGCCCCACTCCGCACTCACTGCTGCCGCTCCACTCCGCACTCGCTCCCTCCCTCCCGTCGCACGCGCCGCCTGCTCTCACTCGTCGCGCGCGCCGCCTACTTGGCTGAGCCAAGGCCGGTGCTAGTCGTGCTGACGATGGTGGTGCTCGTGCGCCGCCACTGGTGCTGGTGCAGGTGGCGCTCACGTGCCGTCGCCCGCGCGCCGGCTCCCACCCCCGACGTCTGGAATCGACCGGCCCCGACCTTCCCTGGTTGCAAAACGCATATTTAAAGTGTTTCGGATGTTTTATATGGATGTTGCAATGGTAGTTTACAAATCTTGCACATGTTGCAATTGTTATACATCGTATCTTGCAATAGTTTATTCAAAATGTTTCATCTATTTTTAAACACATATTGCAAGTATTTTATTTGGATGTTTCATATGTTGCAATGGCTATGTTGCAAATGTATGTTCAAATGTTCTATCTATTTCAGACGTTTGTTACAATTGTTTTATCTGAGTGTTACAAAAGTAGATTTAGATGTAGAGTTGTTGAGTGGCGAAAAGAGAGCTAGTGCAGGAGCCTTGGCGGCGTCGATGTGGGGAGGAGGCGTAGGCCGCGCAATGCCGATGTGGAAGAGGCAGGGGAGTCATCCGAGCGGCGTGGAAGAGGTGGGTGCGTGTGGCAGAATCGTCCAAAATAACACACTTTCGGAGGCGCTCGTCTTCTACTAGACACTAAGCACCTCGAAAGTGAACTACTTTGGACAGTTCCGTCGAGCACACCCCAAGGGGAAACTCGAAACAATCCACGTTTTACATCCAGAATCCAATAATGAGTATGAGCTTATAATACTTAATCCATTTCATACAACAAGAGTTCTTAGAAATTATTTAATACAATACCAGAGTTTAGAGTGCGATAATTAAACAGCGGAATAAAAATAAACATCTAGTGGAAACGATACAAGGATTCGTCTGTGCCCACCAGAAGAATCCTCCACACAAAAGCTACTCCTCAAGCTACACATGCAACAGGGATAAAATAAATCCTGGGTACACAATGTACTCGCAAGATTTACCCAACTAGTGGGAATAGTTTTCCGACTCCAAGGAGTATGATAGACAATATGGGTTTGCTGTTTTCTTTTTGTTTGCAAAAAAACATTACTAGGAGTACGTCCTTAAGATCAGTTTTATTAGCAGTCATGATTACTTCATTAGCTAACCATTCTAAGTAAGCACCTGTTCTACTTTCAAGTAAGGGTTGAGCAATCAGAACTATTTTAGCATCTTTCATCTTCTAGTTTTTACTATGATGCTAGACTATAGCCAGGTAGTACCGTCTCACGAAAACGGCGATTCGCGAACCAATATATCCCAGCTGGGTACCCCGAAATACACGTCCCGTTTGTACCCTAGGCACAAATAAGACCAACCTATTCCACTCCTGTCAAGAGGTCTAGATCCCCATCCAAACATGGACTCTAAGCCCCCACACTTGAGACCCGGTCTCAGTATGGTGCATAGACCTCTACCTTTCCCCGCCTCCGATCAGCCGGTCCAGAAAGAGCAGGAACCCACGATAAGAGCGTAACGAGCATTCCAGCTCCCATAAGCAAGTATGTGCTCAGGATAATAAGTCTGTGACCTGACTACCATCCATAGCAACGGACGGTCCTTAATCGACACAGACAGGAAAAATAGTGTAACCAAGCTAAGCCCTGTGACCACGGGACACAACTCATCACAGCCACCAATACCCATACCATATCCCTGTCCGGTCTCCTTTTTTTTCCTTTCATCATTTTATCATAAGAGTAAATATAATAATCACTTATTATGAGTAACGACAGGTTACTCACGCTACCAAAAACCTAAGCATAACATCTACTCGAACTACACTAGTAAGACTCTTAGGACAGATATATCTATGCATGTGGTTTCCATAAAAAATCTGTAATGTAAATGCACATCACATATATATATTCAGTGACTATAAAAAATAAGGGTTATGCACCAGGGCTTACCTTAGGCAGGCGCGGTGTCAGCTGAGTCAGTCAGTGGCGGCTCCAGGACCCCTCCTCGTACTCCTCGATGATGCCCTCACACTCGTGATCGCCGGTGGTCACGATCTCCGCCAACTCATTCTCTACATGCATGCGATGATGATACAACACTTAGCATTTAGGCAACAACAACTCTTAAACTAAGAATACGCATACTAAGCTAGCTCTAATGACTAAGGTACTAAGCTAACTATCATCTTTACCAAGCAAAGTGTTGGGTTCAACTAACAAACACCTAGCTTTACAAATAAAGGATATATCTTTATTTCTATTGATTATTTAATGTATATTGAAACAAAGAGCATTTAACTACCCTAATGCTTAGTCTATTCTAAAGCTACAAAAATTACAGTGAGCACGTAATAATACCATGAAGCTACTATAAAAATTTCAGGACCAAAGCTAGCACCAATTTACCATAAAAATTCCTACAATAATTATCCTAACAATATTAAACATTTTTAAATGATTTAATAGCTCCTGGTATCAACATGTACATATATGAACTAAATACACTAACAAATAGAGAACAATTTTAGGAACCTAACAAAATTTGTTTCATAATTTTTCGACACCTATATGATTTTATATGATTTACCAAACATCAGCTCAAAAATTAAATTAGAAAACTATTTCTAATCCCTTAGGAAAAGAAAAATGAAATCTCCCACACGCGTGGCCCGCACGACCCAGCGCGTGCGCGGCGGCCCGCGGAATCGGCCCACGCGACGCTGGCCCACGTGCGAGATGGCCCGCGGTGGGGGAATCCCGTGCGCGCTGGCGCTTTTGCAAAATAGACCTCGCACTTCTCCTGAATTACAACTAAGTCCTAACGTTATTTTCCCTTC